TATTTAAAACGATGAAACCGAAAAATTTTTATCTGTTGGTGGGATATTTTAGCCAAGTATACGGAAAACCGGTGCTAAAACCCCAGTTTTTTAGAGTTCTAGACGAATGTCAGCTATTCTTTTAGTTAGCGTAAACTTAATATTTTTCAACGACATCATCAGAAACACACAGTGAACCTTCTTCGTTTCTCACGGTCCATAGAAAACCTTGTTCGTCAAGTTAGATTATAATTAGATATTTCCTGTTTTTAAAGTTCTCTCCGACGAAGAGAGAAAGTTTATATTTTAGATTCCGAGTTTAGCGAAGAATGTATTGGTTTTACAATAATGTTTTATTTTTATTTATTTTTTTTTCTTATGTGAACACTTTTTCTACGAGACTAATTGCATTGATATTCAATTATAGCAACTTTTCCGAAAAAAAATAATCTCTGGGTGTCACTTAAGAAAGGTTATTTTTTAAAATTCTCATTAATACTCGAGATAATAAAGAAAACCGGATTCTTTAGGTTAAAAAAAAAAGAAAGATTAAAAATAACACATTCATTGTTAACCCTTTTTATTTATTTTTTTTTTTAATAATAAGTTTTAATAATTTTAATATTTCTTAAATAAACATGGTTATCATGGAAACGCAATAGTTTTAATCATTTTACAATAATATAACATAAATATATAATTGACAAAGAACTCCGCACAGAGTCGTTGTTTTGTTAGCAATGGTTTTTTATTTCTTAATGATATACACTGAATTCCGGTCTGTACAATACCTTCCCAAATTCCCACCTATAACGGTTGCAGCACCCATATGATAAGTATGTGCGTTATTTTTATTTTTATATGTTGCTAAGAGATGAATCAATTATCAACTGATAAAAAAAAAATGCGTTGCGTGGTATTTAATAAAGAAAAACAAAAACAATACGAGGTGCGATTATTATTAATACGAATAATTATGTAGTTTTCGTGACTACTCCGCTTGAGGTCCTAAATACGCGTCTAGGCCGCTACTCGAGGTGTGGTATCCAAGCATACCCGGATCGTGACCACGTTATTGCTTTGGACGTTTGAGGCTGCGTGTCTGACCGATACATGGTACCGTGTAGGTAATCAGCATACCAACGTCGCCAGAATGCTTTATGATACCGATCCAAGAGCTTCCATCGGTCGACTATCGAACAGCCACGGACATCCGAAATACGGGCAGGAATAGCCAGTAACGGTTAGTCTACCCTGAAGTGTCCAAGCGTGAGACACCCAATGTCACGTGGGTCGGTTAATCCCGGAGTTCACGGTCGGGAATCGAGTACCACATCTATGGGGCGCAACACCATCGTGAGCTCCTCTTTTGCGAAGGTGAACGCACGATCGGTATCGAAAAACGCTCCGCGGATTACAATGACGTAATTAAACAACCGTTTCGGTCTGTACTCCGCGACGAATACGTGCACGAACGATTGACCAGTCACCATAACCAGGAGGCGTTCAATAGATCCACCATACGGTACGGAAAAAATCGATTTAACGGTTATCTTTGACGCTGCCATGGGTCGCGACAAAACCTCCTGCACCTGCTGCCGGGTCCTGGCTACGACGGCAGTGCAATCCTCGTAGACCGTCTGGTACTCACCGGAATCATCGTAGAATTGGTCCGCGTGCTCCGGTGTAGCTACTCAACACGGCGTAATAATGTTCCGCGAAAGATGTACCGAGGAGAGCCGCGTTTCTGGTTATCGTCGTCGCATTAGCCATCTTAACGGTTCCGGAACTTCGAATGTTGTGTTGCGTTCCGACGAAAAATATAACGATTGTTTGCGAAAATTAAAATAATTAATTTCTGTCTTACAATCGTTTTTTTTTATTTTTTGGATTGTATGTTCTATCAGTTAGAATACTATTATACGACGTTAAAAATATTACGGTTTTTGTTGTTTAGTAACGAAAATAAAATTTAGGTATAGGGGTAGACTTAACAGGGGGAAACGAACACACAATGGTTCGGTTGTTTTGCCTTGGTTGTTAAGATCTTCGATACGTTTGTCAAAAAAGAGAAAATGATACTTTAGTTTCTAATTTTCGTCAATTTTGAATGACAAAATTCGTCTTTTAATTGTGGACAATTGACTTTTTATCCATTTTCTTTCGAATGTTTCAGTAAGGGTTTCTTAGTTTTTAATGGAGGCTCCTTAGCTTTTACATTTTTTTGAACCTAGAGCAGTGGTTCGTATCTTTTGAGAACCCCGGAGTAATTGTAATTTTATAAGATTATTGCGGAGCACTAGGTCGTAAATTAAAACAATATTTTACATTGTTTTTTTAATAAAATTACACACCTAATAATACTCGTCTTTAGTCAATGTAATGGAATAAAATTTGTAAAGATATTAACGATGCGTTATAATTTTAATAATTTCATGGATATTATATTATACCGAATTAAACATGTCTACCATCTTTTTTTGAACTGAAGCGGTGGACGTTAAACTATTTTAATTTTTACCTTGCCTACTTGTCTTTACAGTATTTAAATAATTGAAAATATCGTCAAATAATTATTTATAAAATATAATAATCCTATATAAAAAGTATTGTTCTTTTCTTTTTAAAAAAAAACAATTACAGTTTGTATTTTATTTCCAATACTTGATTTTACACTTTACCTCACGATAACTATTTTACTTCTCTATGTTAAAGTAAATTTTCATGTTAAGCATCCATAGATGCACACATCTTATAAACGTAAAAATGAAAAATTATATGTTTTATTATTTGATATTTATAATTTTTCATTTATTTTGATGAGATACGAGAATGGTCTGGAATATTAAATAAAATATGTCTAAAAATGGTGACTCAGTACTTAAAGAAAAATCAAATTTGTTATTATGAAATTCGATTACAACTGTTATCCTTGTATAGGTGCAACATGATACAACACGCGGTCACAAAATATTTGTATATTATTTTATCATAATTTACGGTTTTAACCAATTGTACCTACGTAATTCATTGTGTTGTTATAAGTAAAATTATTAAAAACGTTGGCGGAACATTTTAGCCAAGTACATGGAGCACCACTGTTCTGCGGAACACCGGTGCTAGAAAACTAGTTTTTTTAGAATTCTAGAGGACTGTCAGCTATACTTTTAGTTTGTGTTGACTTTTGTCATGTTTTTCAACGACTTAAGTTTCATAGCATCATCAGAAACATGCAGTGCTTCTTCTTCGTTCCTCATGGTCCATAGCAAACGTTGTTCGTCAAGTAACATTTTAATTCCATATTTCCAGGGTTTATAGTTTTCTCAAATGAAGAGAGAAAATTTATATTTACGATTCCGAGTTTTGCGAAGAATGTATAGGTTTTACAATTATGTTTATTTTATTATTATTATAATTTTTATGTGAACACGTTGTCTACGAGACTAATTACTTTGATTTTCAAACATATCAACTTTTCCAAATGAAAATTTAACTCCGCTCAGAATTCTTATTAAGTTAGCAATGGATCATTATTTCTTAAAGATATACACTGAATTCCAGTCTGCACCTTACCTTCCCTAATTTCCACCTACAACGGTTGCTGCACCCACATGTAAAAGTATGTGCGTTCTTTATTTTTTTCATACGTGGCTAAGAGATGAAACAATTATCAACTGATAAAAAAAATTCATTGCATGGTAATAGAGAAATAAATAAATAATACGAGGTGCGAATATTAATAATACGTATAATAATATGGTTTTTTTGACAACTCCGCTTGAGGTCCTAAATACACGTCTAGACCGCTACTTGAGGTGTAGTATCCAAGCATACCTGGAACGTGACCACGTTATTGCTTTGGACGTTTGAGGCTGCGTGTCTGACCGTTTGGCCAGCTCTTGCAGTATACTAAAACAGATAAATAAATGGTACTGTGTAGGTATTTAGCCTACCAACGTCGCCAGAATGCTTTATGATACTGATTCAAGAGCTTCCATCGGTCGACTATCGAACAACCACGGAAATCCGAAGTACGGGTAGGAATTGTTAGTGATCCCGGAGTTTAAGGAGAAGAATTGAGTACCACCCATAGAATGTGCAAAACCGTCGCGACTTCTGTTTAGGTGAAGGTGAACTCACCCATGGTCGGTACCGAAAAACGCTCCACAGAAAGTACTGCCAGTACCTGCGATCCACCGAAATTGCAGAGCGCTTGGATAATTAAAGCGCCACATACAGGATGCAGAGGTGACGGTTAAAACGGCCTAAAGCAGTTGTGCCATTCGCTCGTTGACGGAGCCGTCGGTTAGAGACGATGCAATAAAAAAACAGCAGTTTGGATAGACGTCGATCGATTCGAATGGACCGTCGCCTTGACGCGTAGTCACATGGACACGGATACAGTATTGTACGTCCGCGTCTCTCGTGACCGGATTTCTCGCATCGTAACGGGTTAGGCATAGTCGATTCCAACGAATGTGAACGGGTGGCATTGGGGCGCCAACGCATCCGGTTAATCGGCCACAATTGGGACCTGAATTGGACGCACGGATACATGTTGCATGTGTCATGGATGGTCAAAGTGTAAGGCACACGGTCGCACTTATATTTTACACATTATCACTCTCACAGTAAAAAATTTTACAGGAACAAACGACCGGGAGTAGCGGGAGTAAGCAAGTATCAGAAGAACACGTACATAAAAGATTTTGAATAATACATAAAATTTTAGAAACAAATTAAAATGGGTAAGAATTTATAAGATCACAATACAAAATGGTTTTCTACTTTGAATCATAATGGCAAACATTTGGACAGGATTTAATTCATTTTATAAGCATTTAAATAAATATACGTTTTACATACTTTTATGACATATTAGGAAACAATATAAATTCATTAGAATTTAGTTTTTAAAATTAAATACCAAATTATCTATTAAACACACTCAACACAAAAACAAGAAAACAAAGAAAATTAGTTACAGACATATTTATGAAAGTTTCGTTTTTTGATATCATTTAGCCACGACGAATTTTTGGTGTCCATACATTGTTAGTACGGTGCACCACTGGTGGTAAATGGACATTTTGGGGCTGAATATAAGTATTCGCCCATTGTTGGTGCGGCACACTATTAACGGTGAATGGGAAATTTGGGGTACTAAATAATGGTCCAATATATACAGGTTTCTTTGGCCTGAATGAGCTGAAAGGAACATGGTAACTAACAGTATTCCGATATTCAAATCTTGCGGGAAGAGATTTGATTACAGGTTGACTTGGGATGCTTTTTTTTATTTGAAGTGTCGAATTACCGGTGGCGAAATTCAGATGATTTTTTTGGCTGGGAGCATTCGAGTGAGGTTTGCGGGATTTGGCTTTTATGGAGGGAATAGGTTCGCGGTTACAGTTTGTAGTAAATGGGTTTTGCGTGGCTAAATTTTGATGTATACTAATGCTGGCCTTAGTCGGAGTTTGGGGTCCGCAGGGAGCTGATATTTCGGGAGGATTGGGTACGAATTTTACAATTTGAACAGGTGGTTTGTTTTGGGCCAAACCTAACGGTGAATTATAATAAGCGGTGATTGATGGGATATGATTACGGGGGGATTTTATTTCAGTTGGACTTGTGACGCGTTTCATTATTTGAACTTGCGAATTTCCGGTGGCGATATTCAGATGATTGTTTTGGGTATGGGCATTTGAGTGATGTTCGCGAGATTCGGTCATTTCGGAAGGAATAGGTACGTGGTTAACGATTGTAGTAGATGGGTTTTGCAAGGCTAAATTTTGATGTTTACCAATGCTAGTTTTATTCGAAGTTGATGGTTCACTTGGAGCCGGTACTTCGGGGGTATTAGGTACGGGGTTTAAAATTTGAACAGGTTGTTTTTTTTCGGTTGAACCGAGTTTCGAATTATAATTATAGATGATTGAAGGAAGAGTTTTACGAGAGGATTTGATTTCAGGTGGAGTTGGGACGCGTTTTAATATTTGGATCTGTGATTTTCCGGTGGCAAAATTTTGATGATTGTTTTTGGTGTGTGAATTCAAAGAGAGTTCACGGGGAGTAAACATTTGGGATGGACCGGGTAAGCGGTTTAAGGTTGTAGTTGGTAGATTTGGCGTGGCTAAACTTTGATTTACCTTAATGCTTGCCGAATTCTGAGTTGAGGGTTTAGTGGGGGTTTGGATTTCTATTGGTTTGGATTCACATTTTAAAATTATGATAGGTGGGTTTTCAGTGACGATGCCGTCTTGAGTGCTATCTATAAAATTATCGATAAGGGTTTCGTGGTTTGTAGCTTTATCGGAGGTAATTCGTACGTGTTTGTTCGCTTTTGAATCTGCTGTCGTTGTGTTATCGGTTGCTGCACCGAGAAGTGGTTCGCGAGATATAGTGATTTTAGCGTGATTTGTTAAATAATTAATAAAACTGAAAAGTGCATTATCGATGAAGACATCGGTTTTCACGTTATCGGTCACGGTATTGGGAAACAAGTTATGGTATGTGGGTAAATAAGGCGTAGATCCTACTTGTTTTTTCGCTTTTAAACAAGCCGTCGGCGTGCCATCATTGCCGATGCGAATTCGGCAGTCGCCTGTATCGAGAGTCGTTTTCTGATTCGAGTCTTCGCCGGCTTGTACAACGTTAATATATTGAATTAACGACGTCACAATGACGTAATTAATCAACCGTTTCGGTCTGCACTCCGCNGCGTTCAACCGATCCACCATACGGGACCGAAAAAATCGATTGAACGGTTAACTTGGACGCTGCCATGGGTCGCGACAACACTTTTTTAACCTGCTGCCGGGTCCTGGCTATGACGGCAGTGCAATCCTCGTATACCGTCTGGTACTCACCGGAATCTTCGTAGAATTGGTCCGCGTGTTCAGGTGTAGTACGCATCACGGCGTAATAATGATGCGCAAAATTTGTACCGAGGATTGCCGCGTTTCTGGTGATCGCCGTTGGGTCAGCCATCGTAACGGTTCCGGGATTCTGAAAGCTTTGTTGCGTTCCGACGAAAATAATTACAATTGTGTGCAAAAAATAAATATTTTTCGTTTAGAATCGTTTAGTTTATTTTTCAGATTGTATATTCTATTTGTTAGAATACTATTATACGACGTTAAAAATATCACGGTTGTTGTTGGTTAGTAACGAAATTAAAATTGGCCGTCTTATTATTTTTTTATTGGTTTTTACAGCGTTGCACCGCGGTTTCGATTGTCATTCGCAGTGGTGTGCCCGGCAATATTATGAGGGAGAGAACTTGGACAAAAAAAATAAATCAATTGTAAAATCGTCTTATCTGTGCGACTTGACTCTATGGGAATTGGTAATTTAAATGCCGGATACTATATAACGAAAAAAAAAACATTTTATAATCAAAACATCAAGATTTAACTCGTAACTTGGCTGATCTATTTACGTTTCGATGTAAAATTATGTTTTTTTTTTTTTTTTTTAATTTCCCTGTCTACCGGTCGGGATATAATCCTTAATCTTCCCTCTTTTCTATCTATCTAATTTTATCCCTATCCGTTAATCTTTTGATTGGCTTGGAGCAAATCTTCTGCTCCCGAAAACTATGTCAACTGCCATAACTAGTTATATGTTATTTATGGACATGGAAAATACCAGGAAAATGTAATTAAATTTTTTGAATTTTTTGAATTTAAATAATTAAATTAACCGTTATAATGTCTTGCCATCATTCGCTGCACGATTTCGGAATACTTAGAACTATCGAATTAAAACTGTTCACAGCATATACGCAATAGCAATCCGTTGAGAGTTCATCGTTAACCGAAAAAACAATAGGCGACCAAAACCATTCAGTTCATCCTCGTGTGGTCCAAAATGTTATTATATACACATAAATATATATATAAATGTATATGTATGTATATCGAATAACAGCATCCATTTAAATCATATTTTTACTCAATTGCAACAGGGCGAAATGGCGCTTTCCGATTTTCTTGGCATAACTGCCATTTTTTATAAATATTTTTGTGGTTTTTCCGCTTTAGAACCGAATACTTTATTCGACTTGTCATTCATCGCTTATAAACGTCAATTTTTAATTTTTTAGGCCGTATTTTTGTGTATTTAATTTATATTTTCATTTTTGTTCATTTTTCGGTAATTTAAATGGAATTTCGTCAATTAATATGTTTACACACGTACTTTCTGTTTTACACTGGCTGCATATACGTACCAAATTTTATATTTTACATAATAATTATTTAAGTTAGGTTAGGCAAATATAAGGATTTGATAAAATAAGTTAATTTATTCAACATTCAAATTCGGTAAATATTTTTATAAATTCGTTTAAAGAAATTTTTTTTTTTAATAAAGACAATGGTTTGCATGTAACATACTTATATCAGTAATATCAAAATAAAAAATCATTAAAATGCTTGATATAATTGCATTTTAGATTATGAATGGAGCGAGGAAGTGTATGATTTTACAAAAATGTATATTTGTTTTTTTTTTTATCCCTTAACAAATCATCTACCAGAAAACTTGCTCGGATATCTATGCGTCGAACCGCTCCATCATAAGTCTGACAAAGAATTTTATTTTTTATATTCCATTTGGTTATTTCTCCCAATAACATATTTAAGAGCCCAACAGCACTTTTATCCTTTGTTCAAAAAAACCTTTACATCTCTTTTCAATGTTGTTATCAATAACGTATCTCAAAATAATACCTATTTGTGATTTTCACAATACATCGGTGGTTTCATAATGTTGTTAGACACAAACTTTGCACTTTTTAAATCATTCGTTTTTTTAGTATTTACATTATCTGTAATACAAGGAATTTAATAATTTTGCACATCACTAGACGTTCCTTTAAATAAAGAGTTGGACAAAAATATTCTTTGAGTTTTTGTTCTCTTTGCGATAATAATTCTAATAGCTCTAAATAATTACCCTTACCTGATGAGCTTTTTCGTTCATCGTGTTCCCGGAAAGCCAACTCGTGTTTCCCCAAATAACACACAACGAGAACTAATCGAGCTAATATGCGACGGTTAATGCCAACTTGTTCATTATTTAGAGGTGGCCAAAGTCGCGCAACAAATTTGCAACACAGTTTTTATAAAACTGTTGTGTTTTATGTTAAATATGTTGTTTTTTTTAGAAACCTTGCTGTTGTTGAACGTAAACAAGATAACGAGACCAAAGTTGCAATATAACGTAACGGAAACGACGTGGACGGAGAAACTGCGCCGTGACGCGCGTTCCATACAAGACGGTAGGCGTTGCGCGACTTTTGGCCACCTCTGTATATTATGACTGCTAAGCTTCGCCCTTCCGATACTGCATGAACAATTATTTTTATACCAAGTTACTGAAATTGTTCCTGACAAACGAGATGTCTTTCAGAAATATCATGTTTGTTTGCTTTTCGATCCTTAATTTTTTATATTTGACATACCTTCGTGGCTCCAGGTTTTCTCTCCTCATAATAATAGGCAATAAAAACAATATAGTTTATTTCTTATCTGACTACCGGTAAGCTATTTATATTTTGAATACTACACGAATTGAAATTTTCGAGTTGATTCTTTGTCAGCTGTCGTTAAATTCAATAAAGGACATGGTCTATTATTTTTTAGTTTAAATTTGTTTTCGTATTAGTGGTTAATAATTCCATCATTCAAAATGGCTTTAATTAAATAATCAGCCATGATGACAAATTACAAATTAAAATTTAAAACTATAAATAAGTATTGAAAAACACTAAAACACGTACGGCGTAGGTACCTATCACGATGACGTGACAATCGCGACGGTGACGTCGATAATAAATATTGAGGACTGAGGTAATTACGAACGGCAAGACGCGTCTCATAGCGTAGACAGTAAACGCCACTCAGGCGTTTGATTTAAACAAAACAAATATTGAAACATACATAATATTATATTCATATAAATAATATAAAATAAAAATATTTAATTCAAATTTATAAATAATTTATACAAACAAAATAATTATTTATTTGTCCCGTGTTCTAATTTCTAAGTGGGGAGACTTCGTCCCTTTGTCTTCTATGACGCACCGCCACTGAAATCGTGGTTCTATATGTACAGGTCCCCTCGACTGGAATGCACCAAAGGGAACATGGTTACTAACAATATTTGGATTTCCAAATGTCGCGGAAATTGGTTAGCGGTGTTTGGGGAGATTGGCGGGATTGTGATAGCGGTTTAGGGTTCTAGTAGGTGGGTTATTGGTTAAAAAATTACAACGCTTATTACCGACAACAGTATTTGGCGAGGACGGTCCGCCGCGTGTGGTCATTTCAGAGGGATTAGGTACGTGATGTAGGGTTCTAGTAGGTGGGATTCGGGTTGCAAAATTGCGATGCACATTAATGGTAGTCGTATTCGAAGTTGAGGGTTCGTAGAGAGACGATACTTCGGTGGGATTGGGTACGCGTTTTAAAATTTGACCCTGGGATATTCCGGTGACGGATTTTGGGGAAGGCATTCGAGGGGGATTCGCGTGGGGTAAACATTTGGGAGGTATTGGGTAAGCTGCTTAAGTTAGTATTTCGGGATTTTTGGGTGGCCAAGTTTTGACGTGTATTAATGACAACCGTATTCGGAGTTGAATGTTCGGAGGGGGTTACAATTTCGATGGGATTGTATTCACGTTTTAAGATTATAATAGGTGTGTTTGCGGTGACGATATCGTGTTCCGTGTTATCGTTGAAGGTATCGGGAAGAGGTTCGTGGTAAGTAGCTATATCAGTGGCAAATCGTACGTGTTTTTTTGCTTTTGAACGTGCAGTCGATGTGTTATCGGTTACTGCACCAGGAAGGGGTTCGCGGGAGATAGTGATTTCGGCGGGATTTGGTATATTATTAATAAATCTGAAAATTGCATTATCGATGGTGATATCGGGTCGCATGTTATCGTTGACGTTTTTAGGAAATGGGTTATGGTATTTGGGTGAATATTGCAAAGATCCTACTTGTTTCTCCGCTTTTAAACAAGCCGTCGGCGTGCCATCATTGCCGATGCCAATTCGACAGTCACCTGTATCGAGAGCCGTTTTCTGATTCGGGCCTTCGCCGGCTTGTCCGGAGTTAACATATTGAACCAGAGACGTCACAATGACGTAATTAATCAACCGTTTCGGTCTGCACTCCGCGACGAATACGTGCACGAACGATTGACCAGTCACCATAACCAGGAGGCGTTCAACCGATCCACCATACGGGACCGAAAAAATCGATTGAACGGTTAACTTGGACGCCGCCATGGGTCGCGACAACACCTTTTTAACCTGCTGCCGAGTCCTGGCTATGACGGCAGTGCAATTCTCGTATACCGTCTGGTACTCACCGGAATCTTCGTAGAATTGGTCCACGTGTTCAGGTGTAGTACGCATCACGGCGTAATAATGTTGTGCAAATTTTGTACCGAGGATTGCCGCGTTTCTGGTGATCGCCGTTGGGTCAGCCATCGTAACGGTTCCGGGATTCTGAAAGCTTTGTTGCGTTCCGACGAAAATAATTACAATTGTGTGCAAAAAATAAATATTTTTCGTTNTGCCGATGCCAATTCGACAGACGCCTGTATCGAGAGTCGTTTTCTGATTCGAGTCTTCGCCGGCTTGTCCGGCGTTAATATATTGAATTAACGACGTCACAATGACGTAATTAATCAACCGTATCGGTCTGCACTCCGCGACGAATACGTGCACGAACGATTGACCAGTCACCATAACCAGGAGGCGTTCAACCGATCCACCATACGGTACGGAAAAGATCGATTTAACGGTTAACTTGGACGCTGCCATGGGTCGCGACAACACCTTTTTAACCTGCTGCCGGGTCCTGGCTATGGTGGCCGCGCAGTCTTCATAGACCGTCTGGTACTCACCGGTATCGTCGTAGAATTGATCCACGTGCTCCGGTGTACCAGTTGTTGTGCTCGTACGGGTTTTTTTATTTGTTCGGTAGTGTGAGGATCCAATTTTACGAGAAATACAACGAAACAGTTCTAAGGACTTTTAGTTACTAATATAATTTAATGCGAGCCGAACTATATAATTAAAGAGTAATTTATTATAATAGTCGTTGTGACAACGTACAGTTTTAAAAGTGGTAGCTCGATTAACTGCGCGGCTCTCTCACGGGTGCCGTATGGCTACAATATACTAGGGGCCGCCTACACACTAGGCGTTATCGATAGACTACAATAATATACTCTTATGCTCTAACACAAAGGGCTTATACTACTATACTATATACTATAGCAATATGCTCATAACAGTACGCATCACGGCATAATAATGTTACGCAAAAGTGGTACCGAGGAGAGCCGCGTTCCTGGTGATCGCCGTTGGGTCAGCCACCGTAACAGTTCCGGGACTCCGAATGCTGTGTTGCGTTCTAACGAAAATAATAACGAGGAAGTGCAAAAATACCTATTTTCTGTTTCACAATCGTTTTTTTTTATTTTTCGGATTGTATATTTTAGTAGTTAGATACTACGCTACGACTTTAAAAACAAAACGGTTGTTGTTGGTTAGTAACGAAATTAATATTGGCCGTCATATTGTTTTTTTGTTTCAACAACATCGAACCGCGGTTTTGGTTGTCATTAGCAGTAGTTTGCCCGGGAGTTTTCTGCGTGAAGGGACGTGGCAAAAAAAAAAAAAAAAAAAAAAATGTTTTTCAATGTTTATTTCAACGGGTCAGACCTTCGCTCTTTTCGATCCATCTAATTTTAACCTAATCGTCCGTAAAGTCTTTGATTGGCTTGCAGTAAATCTTTTGCCCCGGAAACAATGTTAACTACCATAATCATAAATTGTTTATGATAAAATACGTCTTCTATTGTGTACAATTGACTTTTTATCCGTTTTCGTTCGAATGTTTCAATAAGGGTTTCCTAATTATTTATGTAGGTTCCTTACCTTTTCCATATTTCCGAACCTATAGCAGTGGTTCGTATCTTTGGAGAACCCCGGAGCAATCATAATTTAAGAAGATTATTGCAAAGCACTAGGTAGTAAAATAAAACAATGAATTACACCGTTTTTTTAATAAAATTACATACCTAAAAAAATTCATATTTAGTCAATAAAAAAGAATTATATTGGTGAATGATATTAACGATGCGTTATAATTATAATAATATCATGAATATTATTTCAGACCGAAGTATAAGTATTTAAATAATTGAAAATATTGTCTAAATACGCCAATTTAGTACACCAATATCATTTGTCAAAATATTATTTATAAAATATAATAATTATATATAAGAAGTATTTTCTATTTATTATGAAAAAAACATTAACAGTTAATCTTTTAGTTCCATAAATCGATATAACATTATACCTCACTATAAATAAATTACAACTCTATTTAAATGAAAATTTTCAAGTTGATTATCCATAGATGCACACATTTTTTTAATTGGCGCTTTTTTAAGGGTCGTAAAATTATTTAGTTGACCATATTTACAAATTGGTATAATATGCGAGGATAAAACTAATAGCTGAGAATGTATTTATTTTGAAATAATGTTTATTGTTTACTTATATTTTCTTTTATGTGAACATTTTCCCTACCAGATTAATAACATTGATTTTCAATTATAGCATCTTTTCTGGAATAAAATGTTTTCTGCGTGGCACTTTATAGAGGTTATTTTTCATAAAATTCTCATTAATATTCGAGATAGTAAAGATAACATACTTCTATGCAACCCTTTTCATTTACTTTTTTCTATAATAAGTTTTAATAATCTAAATATTTCCAAAAAAAACATTGCTACCATGGAAAAGCAAAAGTTTTAATCATTTTACAATAATATGACATAAATATATTCTCGATAACGCAACACTATCAACTTAACTCCGCCCGGAATCGTTAATTTGTTAGCAGTGTTTTATAGTTTTATATAGATATACAATAAATTCTTGTCTGTACCCTGCCTTCACAATTTCCAACTTACAACGGTGGCTGCACCCACATGAAAAATAATGTGCATTATTTTTTTTTTTCATATGTTGTCAAGAGATAAATCAATAATCAACTGATAAAAAAAAAAATCCGTTGCATAGTAATTAATAAAGAAAAACGAAAAAAATACGAGTTGCGAATATTATAATACGAATAATTTTATGGTTTTTGTGACTACTCCGCTTGAGGTCCTAAATACACGTCTAGGCCGCTACTCGAGGTGTGGTATCCAAGCATACCTGGATCGTGAGCACTATATTGCTTTGGACGTTTGAGGCAGCGTGTCTGACCGTGTGGCCAGCTCTTGCAGTATACTGAAACAGATACATAAATGGTACTGTGTAGGTATTCAGTTTACCAACGTTGCCAAAATGCCTCATGAAACTGATCCAAGAGCTTCTATCGGTCGACTATCGAACAATCATGGACATCCGAAGTATGGGCAGGAATTGCTAGTTATCCGGCGTTAACGGTCGAGAATTGAGTAGGTGAAAGTGAACGCAACCACGATCGGTAGCGAAAAAAGCTCCGCGGACCGTACTGCCAGTACCCGCAATCTGCCGGAACTGTTATGATGCGGAGCGCTATAATAAATAAAGCGACAAACAGAGTTTCCAGCGTTGTCGGTAATAACGGCCTAAAGCAGTTGTGCTATTCGCCCGCTGACGGATCCGCCGGTTAGCGAAGATGCGATAAATACCTTATTCCGAGTAGACGTCGATCGAATCAAATGGACAACCGCCTTGACGCGTAGCCACATGGACACGGATACAGTATTGTACGTCCGCAAATNAGTATGGGCAGGAATTGCTAGTTATCCGGCGTTAACGGTCGAGAATTGAGTAGGTGAAGGTGAACGCAACCACAATCGGTAGCGAAAAACACTCCGCGGACCGTACTGCCAGTACTCGCAATCCACCGGTAGTGTTAAAGCGCCAAAAACAGTTTCCAGCGTTGTCGGTAATAACGGCCTAAAGTAGTTGTGCTATTCCCCCGCTGACGGATCCGCCGGTTAGCGAAGATGCAATAATTACCTTATTCCGAGTAGACATCGATCGAATCAAATGGACAACCGCCTTGACGCGTAACCACACGGACACGGATACAGTATTGTACGTCCGCAAATTTCGTGACCGGATTTCTCTCATCGTAACGGGTTTGGCATATTCGATTCCAACGACTGGGAACGAGCGGTATTAGGGCGCCAAAGCATAAGGTTGATCGTCCACAACTGTCCCTGCACAGAACGCGCGGAGACGCAAGTACCGTGTGTAATGGGTAGACAAAGTGTACGCAATACGGCACTCGGTCGCACTAATATTTTACACATTTTCACCCTNAACATATTTTTTGACATATAAGGAGACAATATGAATTCTTTTAAAGTTAGCTTTTGAAACTAATGGAAAATTAAGCTTTGAATAGCTGCACGAAATTTCGACGTAATATAGAAAATTACCTATTTCACACACTTCACATAAAAACAACAAAATAAAGGGTAATGGGTTACAGAAATATTTATGAACGTTTCGTTTTTTTGCTATCATTTAGCCACGGTGAATTGTCGGTTGGACGAATTGGCCATACATTGTTAGTACGGTTTACCGCTGGTGGTAAATGGAAATTTAGGGGCCGAACATAAGTATTCGCCCATTGTTGGTGCGCGGCACCATTAATGGTGAATGGAAAATGTGGGGCACTAAATTGTGGTCCTATATGTGCAGGTCCTGTAGGCAGTGTTGGGCCAAAGGGAACACGGTAACTTACAATATTCGGGTATCCAAATGCCGCGAGGTGAGGTTGGCCGGGTATGGAGATATTGTTGGGATTTTGGAAGTGATTTACAATTCTAGTAGGTGGGATTTGGCTGGCCAAATTTAGATTTATATTACTGGTAGTCGTATTGGGAGTTGAGAGAACGTGATGGGCTGATACAACGGCGGAATTGGGTACGCGGTTTAAAATTTTGACAGGTGGTTTTTTTTCGGCTAAACCTTTCGAATTATAATAAGCGATGATTGACGAAAGTGGTTTGCGGGAGGATTTAATTTCAGGTGGACTTGGGACGCGTTTTATTATTTCAATCTGCGAATTTCCGGTAACGGAATTTGGATGATTGTTTTGGGTGGGGGCATTGGCGTGAGGTTCACGGGATTCGGTAATGTCGGAAGGAATTGGTACGCGTTTAAAGTTTGTAGTAGGTGTGTTTTGCGTGGTTATATTTTGACGTACATTTCTTCTTGCCGTATTCGGTGTAGATGTTTCGTGAGGAGTTGATACGTCGGTGGAATTGAGTGTGCGGTTTAAAATTTGACCATGTGGTTTTTTTTCAGCCAAACCGAGTTTTGAATTATAAAAGGCGATGATTGAAGCGATAGGTTTGCGGGAGTATTTTATTTCAGGTGGAGGTGGGACGCGTTTTAATATTTGGATCTGCGAATTTTCAGTGCCGAAATTTTGAGGATTGTTTTTGGGGGCGGAATTCAAGGAGTATTCACGGGGAGTAGACATTTGGGATGGACCGGGTAAGCGGTTAAAGGTTGAAGAAAGTGGGTTCTCCGTGACTAAATTTTGATTTACATTTATGCTTGCCGTATTCTGAGGTGAGGGTTCTTTGGGGGTTTTGGTTTCTATGGGATTGGATTCACATTTTAAAATTATGATGGGTGGGTTTTCAGTGACGATGCCGTGTTGCGTGCTATCTTTAAAGTTATCGATAAGGGTTTCGTGGTTTGTAGCTTTATCGGAGGTAATTCGTACGTGTTGGTTTGCTTTTGAATCTGCTGTCGATGTGTTATCGGTTGCTGCACCGGGAAGGGGTTCGTGGGAGATAGTGATTTTGGCGGGATTTGTTATATTATTAATAAATCTTAAAAGTGCATTATCGATGATGATATCGGGTTGCACGTTATCGGTTACGGTATTGGGAAACGGGTTATGGTAGTTAGTTAAATATTGCGAAGATACTACTTGTTTCTTCGCTAATAAACAAGCCGTCGGTGTGCGATCGTTGCTGATGCCAATTCGACAGTCGCCTGTATCGAGAGTCGTTTTCTGATTCGGGCCTTCGCCGGCTTGTCCGGCGTGAACATATTGAACCAGAGACGTTACAATGACGTAATTAAGTAACCGTTTCGGTCTGTACTCTGCGACGAATACGTGCACGAACGATTGACCAGTCACGATAACCAGGAGGCGTTCAACCGATCCACCATATGGTACGGAAAAAATCGATTGAACGGTTAACTTGGACGCTGCGATGGGTCGCGACAACACCTCCTGCACCTGCTGCCGGGTCCTGGCTACGACGGCAGTGCAATCCTCGTATACCGTCTGGTACTCACCGGAATCTTCGTAGAATTGGTCCGCGTGTTCAGGTGTAGTACGCATCACGGCGTAATAATGATGCGCAAAATTTGNCATAACTAGGAGGCGTTCAACCGATCCACCATACGGGACCGAAAAAATCGATTGAACGGTTAACTTGGACGCCGCCATGGGTCGCGACAACACCTTTTTAACCTGCTGCCGAGTCCTGGCTATGACGGCAGTGCAATCCTCGTATACCGTCTGGTACTCACCGGAATCTTCGTAGAATTGGTCCGCGTGTTCAGGTGTAGTACGCATCACGGCGTAATAATGTTCCGCGAAAGATGTACCGAGGAGAGCCGCGTTTCTAGTTATCGCCGTCGGGCTAGCCATCTTAACGGTTCCTGAACTTTAAATGTTGTGTTGCGTTCTTACGAAAAATAAAAAGATTGTCTGAGAAAATTAAAAATATTAATTTCTGTATTACAACCTTTTTTTTTATTTTTCGTATTATATGTTTTAATAGGTGGATACTCTAATACGACGTAAAAAATAACTCGGTTTTTGTTGGTTAGTAACGAAAATAATATAGGCCGTCTTATTAATTTTTTTTTTTGAATTTACAACGTTGCACAGCGGTTTTGATCGTCATTCGCCGTGCTGTGCCCAGGAATATTCTGTGGGAGGGGACTTGGAAAAAAAAAATCAATTGTAAAATCTTTTATCCGTGCGACTCGACTTTATGGGAGTTACTTATTTAAAAGTCGGATATTTTAAAATTAAAAACAACCGATTTCCATATAATACATCAAGATTTTACTCGTAACTTGGCTGAAATACGTGCGTTTCGATAGAAAATTGTTTGTAGATTTTGCTACATTCATTTTGCAAATATAGAAAAATCAAACCACGGACATACGATCTTATGTGGGTGAGCCACCGTCGTATATAAGAAGTTGGAGTTTAGGTGGGAAATTTAATGTATATGGAAATTGATGTTTTTCTATGTTCGGTTAATAGTGTTGTTTTTTCTACAATTTATATATCAACATATTATGGTAAAATAATTAAATGTGCCTTATGTAAAATCAGAATTCTTTTATAATATTTGTTTAAGACCTTACTTGTTTTCCGGTTTTTCCTACGTTTTTACCCGGTTTTCACACTTATTTGAAAAATTTCCGGGATAATAAAAAAGTTCCTTAAAATACCATCTCAGTCGGATTTTCTTTCAGAAAAATTGCTGGGTATTCACTAAAAAATAAAATAATACCTATTTTTTTTTTTACTAGTAAACGTACAACTTATGATGATCCGTGTATCGATTTGTATGTACCTACATAAATCGAATAGAGATTGATGATATTAAATAATAGTTCAATTATAACTTATAATAAAATTAAAAATTAATAACTTTGAATTATCATAATTATATCTTTTCTGAGGAAATTGACTCATTCACGTTGTTGTCTTTAATGGATTTTGAAGTTTTCCGATGATGTGTCTGACATACTGTTTGTTTTGCCGTTCCATAATTGTTTATCACAATATGGAAGAAGTATTTTATGAAGTTCTATTTTCAATGTGTATCCGTAATCAACGATAAACTATAGCTCACGAAAAAACGATTCTGAGCTGAGTTTAGTTGTTTTCATGCTTTGTCAACTTTATATATGCAATTTTGTAGTTAAATAATTAAACAGGCTTTATACATTTTCCATTTTAAAATGTGTTAAATGTTGTATCGATTTTCCCAGTTATTCACATTTTTTGGGAAAACCCTTGGGAAAATCAAAAAATGACCTCACGTTAGTCCTTCAATAATGAAATTTCTTTTAAGAAACTCTGCTATTATTACAATTTGGAGAGAAATTGCTGTTAGAAAAGTTGTATACAGAAAAAAAAATCATAAAATTATAATCATTATATTTCATCATTTTTCCAGTTTTTTTTGGTGGGGTGGGAAATTCGCATTTGATGACAAAACTCTTGAAAAAAATCCAATAATGACCTTCCTAGAGCACCTCTACACCCTGATTGCCTTTTAGAAAAATTACGATGTGCATCTTTAGGTTCGTTCAGAAGACCATCTTGAGTTTGGCACAGATAAAAATACAAAATAAATAAACATCATTATATAACCATCTTCGCTTCACTCAGAATCTAAAATTAGTCGAGTAGAAATATACAATAAAATGATCGTGTAGGTAAATGCAATAATTGCATTAAACGAAACGATAAATTCGAAAGTATAATAAAGATGATCATTAATCAAACGTACACGTTCTACACAGTTCCGTTTAACACATCTCATGTTGAGAGATTATACTTTGCCTACGCGTTTTTTTATCGATTTCGAAAACTATTCCTGAAACTGTATACATACATTTACAAAATTAATGGAGTCGCGGTCAGGTACCTACTCACGGTAGTAATACTTCTCGAAAAAAACACCCATACTCTAGAAACGAATAGCGATGCGGTTCAAAAGTTACTTTATAAATTTAACAATTATCAAATGATAAAAAAAAAAAAAATGCGTTGCATGATATTTAATAAAGATAAACGAAATAAATACAAGTTGCGATTATAATAATACAAATAATACAATTTTGTGACTACTCCGCTTGCATCCAAGCATACCTGGACCGTGACCACTTTATTGCTTTGGACGTTTAAGGCTGCGTGACTGACCGATTAGACAGCTTTTGCAGTATACTGAAACAGATACTAAATTAGTACTATGTAGTTTTTTAGTCTACTTACGTCACCAGAATGCCTTTTGATACTGATCCAAGGGCTTCTATCAGTCAACTACCGAAAAATCACGGACATCCAAAGTACCGGTAGTTATTGTTAGTGATTCGGAGATTACGGACGAGATTTGAGTATCGCCCATATAGGGTGCAACACCGTGGCGTCTGGTCTCTAGGTAAAGGTGAACACACCCACGATCGGTACCGAAAAACGATCCACCGAGCGTACTGCCAATACCAGCGATCCGCCTAAATTGCGGAGCGCTGAGATAAAAAAAGCGCCACATACAGGATGCAGAGGTGTCGGTTATAACGGCCAAAAGCAGTTGTGCCATTCGCTCGTTGACGGAGCCGTCGGTTAGAGACGATGCCATAAAAACAGCAGTCTGAGTTGACGTCGATCGATTCAAATGGGCCGTTGCCTTGACGCGTAGCCACACGGACACGGATACAGTATTGTACTTACGCGTCTCTCGTGACCGGTTATTTTGCGTCGTAACGGGTCCGGCAAAATCGATTCCAGCGCCTGCGAACGGGCGGCATTGGGGCGCCAACGCTTCCGGTTCACCGGTCTCAACTGGTACCTGGATTGGACGCGCGGAGAGGCACGTAGCGTGTATAATGTGTAGTCAACGTGTACGCAATATGGCACTAATTCGCACTATTATTTTACACATTTATACAAGCACAGATTTTTTGGGACGGCGCGCGATAAAAAACTGTACAGCAGTAAACTACCGAGAGTAGCGAGAGGGAACAAATATCATAATTTTTTATAGTTGTGTGAGTCGAACTCCGTTACCACATCGAAGAATACGACATATAATCAAATAAGGGCATATTTTAAATTCGACTTAATATAACGAATACAACACGGCATATGAAAAATATAAGGGCCTAATTAAAATAATGAAATATTTACTAAGCAGAACACGTAAAAAAACAGATTTAAGAAAGTACATACATTTTGAGGAATAAAACAAAATTGGTCAGAATCTATTAGGTCACAATACAATACGGTTATCTACTTCGACCATAATGGCAACAATCTGGACAGCATTTAATTAATTTTACAAGCATTTAAATAAAATATAATAACATATTTTTTGACATATAAGGAGACAATATGAATTCTTTTAAAGTTAGCTTTTGAAACTAATGGAAAATTAAGCTTTGAATAGCTGCACGAAATTTCGACGTAATATAGAAAATTACCTATTTCACACACTTCACATAAAAACAACAAAATAAAGGGTAATGGGTTACAGAAATATTTATGAACGTTTCGTTTTTTTGCTATCATTTAGCCACGGTGAATTGTCGGTTGGACGAATTGGCCATACATTGTTAGTACGGTTTACCGCTGGTGGTAAATGGAAATTTAGGGGCCGAACATAAGTATTCGCCCATTGTTGGTGCGCGGCACCATTAATGGTGAATGGAAAATGTGGGGCACTAAATTGTGGTCCTATATGTGCAGGTCCTGTAGGCAGTGTTGGGCCAAAGGGAACACGGTAACTTACAATATTCGGGTATCCAAATGCCGCGAGGTGAGGTTGGCCGGGTATGGAGATATTGTTGGGATTTTGGAAGTGATTTACAATTCTAGTAGGTGGGATTTGGCTGGCCAAATTTAGATTCATATTATTGATAGTTGTATTGGGAGTTGAGGGTCCGCGAGGGGCTGATACATCAGTGGAATTGGGTACGCCGTTTAAAATTTTGACAGGTGATCATTTTTCGGCTAAACCTTTTGAATTATAAAAATCGATGATTGAGGAAAGTGGTTTGCGGGAGGATTTAATTTCAGGTGGTCTTGGGACGCGTTTTATTATTTCAATCTGCGAATTTCCGGTTACGGAATTTGGATGATTGTTTTGGGTGGTGGCATTGGCGTGAGGTTCGCGGGATTCGGTAATGTCGGAAGGAATTGGTACGCGTATAAAGTTTGTAGTAGGTGGGTTTTGCGTGGTTATATTTTGACTTACATTTCTTCTAGCCGTATTCGGAGTAGATGATTCTTGAGCAGTTGACGCGTCGGTGGACTTGGGTGTGCGAGTTAAAATTTGACCAGGTGAGTTTTTTTCGGCCAAACCGTGTTTTGAATTATAATAGGCGATGATTGAAGCGAGAGGTTTGCGGGAGGATTTTAATTCCGGAGGAGTTGAGACGTGGTTTGATATTTTGATCTGCGTATTTCTGGTGGCGAAATTTTGATGACTTTTTTTCGTGAAGGCATTCGTAGAGTTTTCACGGGAANAGACATTTGGGATGGACCGGGTAAGCGGTTAAAGGTTGAAGAAAGTGGGTTCTCCGTGACTAAATTTTGATTTACATTTATGCTTGCCGTATTCTGAGGTGAGGGTTCTTTGGGGGTTTTGGTTTCTATGGGATTGGATTCACATTTTAAAATTATGATGGGTGGGTTTTCAGTGACGATGCCGTGTTGCGTGCTATCTTTAAAGTTATCGATAAGGGTTTCGTGGTTTGTAGCTTTATCGGAGGTAATTCGTACGTGTTGGTTTGCTTTTGAATCTGCTGTCGATGTGTTATCGGTTGCTGCACCGGGAAGGGGTTCGTGGGAGATAGTGATTTTGGCGGGATTTGTTATATTATTAATAAATCTTAAAAGTGCATTATCGATGATGATATCGGGTTGCACGTTATCGGTTACGGTATTGGGAAACGGGTTATGGTAGTTAGTTAAATATTGCGAAGATACTACTTGTTTCTTCGCTAATAAACAAGCCGTCGGTGTGCGATCGTTGCTGATGCCAATTCGACAGTCGCCTGTATCGAGAGTCGTTTTCTGATTCGGGCCTTCGCCGGCTTGTCCGGCGTGAACATATTGAACCAGAGACGTTACAATGACGTAATTAAGTAACCGTTTCGGTCTGTACTCCGCGACGAATACGTGCACGAACGATTGACCAGTCACCATAACTAGGAGGCGTTCAACCGATCCACCATACGGGACCGAAAAAATCGATTGAACGGTTAACTTGGACGCCGCCATGGGTCGCGACAACACCTCTTGCACCTGCTGCCGGGTCCTGGCTATGACGGCAGTGCAATCCTCGTACACCGTCTGGTACTCACCGGAATCGTCGTAGAATTTGTCCGCGTGCTCCGGTGTAGTACGCATCACGGCGTAATAATGTTCCGCGAATGATGTACCGAGGAGAGCCGCGTTTCTGGTTATCGTCGTCGGGCTAGCCATCTTAACGGTTCGGGGATTCTGAAAGGTTTGTTGCGTTCCGGCGAATATAATGACAATGGTGTGCAAAAAATATATATTATTCGTTTAAAATAGTTTTATTTTATTTTTCGGATTTTATATTTTATTTGTTAGAATACTATTATACATCGTAAAAAATAAATCGGTTGTTGTTGGTTAGTAACGAAAATTATATAGGCCGTCTTATTATTTTTTTTATTGGTTTTTACAACGTTCCACCGCGGTTTCAATCGTCATTCGTCGTGTTGTGCCCCGGAATATTCTGTGGAAAGGAACTTGGAAAAAAAAATCAATTGTAAAATCGTCTCATCCGTGCGACTCGACAAAATGAGAATTGTTAATTTAAATGTCAGATACTTTCAAAAGAAAAAAAAAACCAATTTCTATACAATACATCAATATTTTACTCGTAACATGGCTGAAATATGTGCGTTTTGATATAAAATTATTTGAATATTTTTCATTGATTTATGTCAACAAGTCAGACCTTCGCTCTTTTCGATCTATCTAATTTTAACATAATCGTCCGTTTAATCTTTGATTGGCTTGCAGTAATTTTTTTTGCTCCTGAAAACTACGTTATTTACTACAACCATAACTTGTGTATGACAAAATTCGTCTTCTTTCTGTGGACAATTGACTGTTTATCCTTTTTCGTTCGAATGTTCGACGGATTTCCTAATTATTTACGGAGGCTTCTTAACTTTTACATATTTTTGAACATAGAGCAGTGTTTCGTATCATTGGAGGACCCCGGGGCAATTATAATTTTATAAGATTATTGCGGAGCACTAGGTCGTACAATTAAACAATACACTACACTGTTTTTTTAATATAAAATGGTATATTTTTAAATAATTGAAAACAATGTCTTAATACGCCAATTTATTACACCAATATCGTTTGTCAAATTGTTATTTATAAAATATAATAATTATATATAAAAAGTATCGTTATTTTAGTTTTGAAAAAAACATTAACAGTTAATCTTTTAATTCCGGAACTCGATAAAATACCTCACGATAAATAAATTAGATCTCTATGTAAATGTAAATTTTC